ACCTGCCTATGCAGGCACTTTCTCCTCTTCAAAGCACATCATTATCTCCGGGATCTTTACAAACCTCCTGTGAGGTGGGCAGGGCAGGTATTATTCCACTTTGCATATGAGAAAACTAAGATTCAGAGGATAAAGTAACCAGCTCCTAGCCACAGACCTCTTCAAAGCAGGGTCAAATTCATAATGCAGGCTCCCTAATTCTTTGTTCTGTGCTCTGCTGCACCTGCATGCACACACACATGTGCACACACACAGCCTCACATACATAACTCATGTGTTTATGAGGCAAACATCCCAGAATAAAATTAGAGAAAGGTCCAAATGGTCCCCTGTTGCCAATTTATTCTAGTCCTGCTCTTACCCCAAGCTTTTCTCATTTCTTACTCTTAATCCTCACCAGGCTCCAAAGTTACTTCCACTTTTATGCTTATGCAAAAAACACCAGACTATTTCTCCGAGTCCCTGACCCCTACCTGCTCCAAATCTCCCACTTCAAAATCCTAAAAGCCTAGCAACACATCAAAGCTAATGACTGAGTAATTCACAGATTCTCCCCAGTGAATGCTCCAAGGACTGCTGATTTTCATGAATAGCACAAAGGATATTTTGCAGACCAGTTTCTTTGAATGTGAAGGATATTTTATATTAAGTTCAAGGCATTTTCAGGGAAAGCTGGTTTGTGAAACGTTTCACTCTGATAAGGGTACTTCCTAGGCCCTCCTTCAACATACACCCTGGGCAAGTCCCGAGCGTGGCCTATAGGCTCAAACCTCTAGACACCAGTTGGCTGACCCTTCTGATCTCAGGTACAAGATTCAAAATTCTAACTAGTGAAAACTAATACAATCTAATATTCACATAGATCATTAACGTCATACTGCCTTGTACTTGGTATTTTCCCAGTCTGATGAATTTAATTGAACCAATTATTTCACAAATCAGTATAGGAAAGTAATTTTAAGCATTTTAGTTTTTAATCCCACCAGTAAACTGAAATATCAATTTCATTTCCCACTATCCACCTGCCCTTCACTATTTAAATCATAATGATCACTTCAGAAGTTTCTGGGGGTCACATAGTCACCCCCTTAAGAACCTGTTAAAAGCTACAGACTCTATCAACAGAAAATTGTACACTTGGAAACACACAGAACTTTACAGACAATTTCATAGGGTTATGAGACCCCTAAAACCCACCCATGGATCAGAGGATAAGAATACCTGGTCTAAAAATAACTAAATATGTACAGATAGGGAAAGTGAGAGAATGGAAGATGGGACTAAAGGAAAAGGGGAAAAAGCTGGAAAGGGGTAAGGAGATGAGGGACAGGCAAAGAAGAGGCCCAATTTCAAACTTAGATACTGAACTGTGTGGTTTTATACCCCAAAGTGCCCTCATCTCTTAGATTTCATTTGATTTTTACAGTAACTCATTCAACAAAAAAGATTATACACCTCACTTTAACGATGAGAAAACTAAGATTTAAACTGGTTACAAGAGTTGCCCAAGGTCAAACACCAGTACCTGGCAGAACCACAACCCTGACCCACAACCTCAGGAGATTGTAACATATCATTGGCTCCTAAGTGGAGACAGAATTCAGAGAAGACAGAAGAAAGGAAGAAAGAGTGGGAAAGAAGCCAAGAAAAGAAGAAGAAAGGAACCGAGTGAGTAAAGATAAAGTGATAGATTTAAAAGGGAGGCCCAAGAATAGAGATGATGAGGAGGAGACAAGTAGAGACACTAGAGGGAAACAAGGATTTTATGTCACCTTAGATGTTATAACAAGAAACTGTGCTGCAACTTCCAGCTAGTTATAAAAAGGGAGTGAAACACTATCTTCTCAAACTTCAATACCTAGAAAACTATAGGATACTCATCCACATTATGAAAACAGTAAAGAAAGAACAACTGACGTGGAAAGCGGGGGAAGACAGGCAGACAATCCCCCGAATCAAGGGGGAGCTGAGGCCTCCTGCGGGTGTAGGAAACAGCATGGGATGAAACCCTGCAGTTAACGCACAGCTGAGAAAAGAGCCCTCACAAATCTGGCCTCGTTGGTTCTGGACACAAAGGTGAGAGAAGCAGGTTTATCTACAGTTACATTTTTCTAAAATCGAAACTAAACAAAACAACAATCTTTGTTTCTAACATTAGCATTCCAGGGTTGGTGTGGATTATGATTTTTTTAATGGTTGTTTAAAGCCCTAACTACTGCTTTAGATAAAGTTGATTTCTAAACATTGTTTTATTAACTTTTCTCTTCACACAAAATGAGAGATGTTTAAAGTGTTATCTCTGGGAACAGCAAAGCAGCTTATGCTCCAATAGGTAGACTTGGTGAGAAAACACTATTTCCAGAGAGGCCTCAAAACCTAACAGGAAAGATTTCCTTATGTTAAAAAAAAAAAAAAAAAAATCCAGCAAGAAGGAATGGGGCAAAGGGAACAACATCCTGAAGACCACACACACTCTCCAGAAAGTAAACCCAACTCTGTCTGGGCTCCCCCAGAAAGAAACATCGTGGGCTTCAAAACCGTGTGTGAAAAGCAAATCTGTGTGGTCGGCACCCCTCTTTCCTAGGGGCAGGCTCTGGTTGCGAAAGTGCTGAAGCATCCGGGGCTGAATTTAGCGACCTTGCTGGCAGGAAGTAGAGCATCAGCAGGTTCAAGATTCGGTTTGCCTCATTCTAGGGTTACCAGAGTCCTTTAACAAAAGCACAGAGGATGCTGCCGAGAGCTTGGCTGGGTCACACTCTTGGCTGAAGTAAGAAAGGACGAATGAGGTTGAAGAGATCCATCCTCTCCCCTAAAAAGGAGTCTTTTGCACAAGTAGGATGTCAGACACCAAGAGACAACCCTTCATCACGGACACAAGACATATTGGGACCATTAGCAGGGCTGTAGTTTAAATATTCAGATCTAGGCATCCTGATGTGGAATGAGTGGGTTCTGGCAAAATTTAGAAGGTCAATGATAGGATAGAAGGGGTTGGCAGTAGCACAGCATAACGGGTAAGTGGCACCCAGAGACAGTGTGATGTGTGTGCACCCTCTTTCCCTGCACAGTGTCACCTGCTGCACCAGAATTTTCAGGAATGGGGATTAGAACTGGAAGACATATTTCTTCCTGTGCCTACTTTTTGCTATGCCCCTGAGAGCTAGCCTCTGGACCTCATCTTTTACAGATAAAGGCAACTTATGTAACCCTAGGGCAGTCTTTCTGCAGGTAAAATAAATGAGTTTGAAAGCCTTTGTGTCAGAGCGTGTTTTGAAAGTGATTTCTCACTAATAGCCTTACAAAGCACACTGGCATTTAAACATTCAGAACCACCATCAGGCTAAAATATACTATTTATACAGTACAAAGAAAGCCGACCTAAAAAATTGCTCATGGGGGCAGGGGAAGAAACTCTTGAGGGAGAAAGCCCCTATAAGAAACACTGAAGCCGGGGCAACTAGATCAGCAAGGAGCTATTTAAGGATTCGTCGGCAACCTTCAAATAGCGTTTCACTTTTAACAGCAAATGTCACCATGAGCACTTCTGGCCCCAAAACACACTGTTTTTAAAAAGACCACCTTCTGACAACTTGAGACTAGAGCATCTCCAAGCACATCTTAGAATACTGCAAGCAAAACAGAAATACATTTGTTAAGATACTAGCTTGATCAATACGCACAAAATACGAGGGGAAAAAGTGGGATTTTTTTTGTTTTTTGCATTGTTTTGTGTTGTTCGTGCAGATACTGAATTTTAGAGCAGGAAGAGGGTACCTGAGGGAGAACTACTCTTCACAATTGGGTTTTTTCAGATGAAGAAACTGAAATCGTTTCCTTGAGAAAGGTGTCATAACACACTGAGATCTCACCTCTCTCTAGTGTGATTCCAGCCCCTAAGAATGCTCCACACTGAAAGCTTTCCTAAGAAAATGGTCCACTCCTACAATGCTGTCTGGGCTATTATTACAGAGGCTTTGTAGTTAGAGAGGGAGGCCGACTCAACGAGTGCCGAGCACAAGGGCTCCGAGCACTAAAGAATCTTGGAGATTATCTCATCCGACTTCCTCATTTACAGAAGAGAAAAAGACAACCCAGAAAAGTAAGGCAACCAGGCCAGAGTTCCACATCAGGTGACAATGGGTTTCCCCAACAGTGGCATTACTGACATTTTTTGGATCACATAGTTCTTTGTTGTAGTGGGCTGTCCTGTGCCTTGTAGGATGTTTAGCAGCATCTCTGGCCAGCAGCAATCCCTCCACCCAACTGTGACAATCAAAAGTGTCTCAAAACATTGCCAACTATCCTCAGGGAGCGGAGCGGGAGGACAAAACTGCCCCCAGTTGAGAAGCACTGGGTTAGAAACTGGTGCAACCAGCAACCAAATCCTTCACACTCCCAAACTGGGGCTCTTTCACTACGTGAACACTTGTTTTCAAATAAATAGTTTGGAATTAGGAAGAACTGATTAATGCATTAAGCCATCACTAATACTGATTACATGCTCTTAAAAATAGTCAAAGGTACGAACTAACTGCATTTAACCATCTAATTGCGTGTGCCTGACATGAATATAAACACATATTTGCATGTATATCTACATGAGGCGGAAACTTTGAAATCTATGAAACAATGAATCTCTTATTTTTGGTTGGGCAAAATACAGTAATGTCGTGTTAAAAGATACTTTGGGGAGAATTCCCTCCGCAAATGGTAAAATTTCTTACCACTCAAACAAATTCACTACACATTGTACATAAATATAGATCTTTTTTTTTAATTAACAAGAAGGAAACTCATTCTCAAGTTGTTTAATCATCTTATAAAGATAAGAAACTCAGTGCAAAGAGCTAAGGTTTCCTAACAATGTGTCAAAATGGTGCCAGATTCCTTAAATACAGATGAGAATATCAGGCTTAAAAGTACATAGAATACACAGCTTCTGTCACCAACAGCAGCCTCTGATTTCGGAGTTCCAGTTAGCTATGATATTCCAATATTACCTGTTTCTCTTTTTCCGGTGTTCTCTGTTAGAGTTTTCTGATTCACTACCGCTGCTTGTGTTACAGCGTGAGCGCGACCTGAAGACAAAATGACAAGAGTAAAAGAAAAAGCCCACATTTGTGACAGATAAAAAATTTCAGAAAGGTTCACATTAGTTCTTTAGAATTAATTTTGCAGCAAAATTTCTAATCCAACTATAAGTAGCTGTATTATCCCTCTCCTAGTCGGTGTTTCTCACTTCAGTCAGACATGAATAAGTCTACAGAAAGGTGAAAGCAGATTAAGGCGAACATCACCATGCACCCAGACAGGACCACAAAATCAAGCGCTTCCAACAGAACCCTGACAGCGCAAAGCTACAAGCCCCGGTGGTGGACTAAATATGGACACCAAGTCCTGTCAACCCCACCCCACATGAAGAGAAGCAGAGTTTATCCCTGCCTCTTCAATTTGTGCTGGTCCTGTGACTGGTTTTATTAACACAGTGAGGTGGACGGGACACTCTTGCCAGCTCCCGGACTATCACCTTAACAGGGCTGGTAGCTCCTGCTTCCTCACAGCCGCCATCTCAAGAAGCCTAGGCCACCAGGTGGAGAGACCAAGGAGAGAAAGAGAGACCCCAGGCCTCTTACTCATTCTCCCGAGACGCCAAACATAAGAGAGAGAGGCCTCAAATATTCCAGCCTCGCCTGCCATCCAACTGCAGCTCTACGGGGACCAGCAAGACTAGCTACAGAATGGCTTGTTCAGCCAGCAGACAGACAGGAGTCCCCCCTTATCCAGGGTTTCAGTTACCCATGGTCAACTGAAGTCTGAAAATATTAAATGAAAAAGCCCAGAAATAAACAATTCATAAGTTTTAAATTGTGTGCCATTCTGAGTAGTGGGATGAAATCTTGGGCTGTCCCACTCAGTCCTGGTGGGACAGGAATCATCCTTTTGTCCAGCATATCCACGCTGCGCACGCTACCCGCCTGTTAGTCACTTAGTAGCCGTCTCAGGTATTAGATCTACTATCGCGGCACTTGAGTTCAGGTAACCCTTACTTTACTTAATAATGTGTAAGAGTAGTGACGCTGACAATTCAGATATGACAAAGAGAAGCCTAAAAGTGCTTCCTCTAAGTGAAAAGGTGAATGTCCTCGACTTAATAAGGAAAGAAAAAAAAGTACACTGAGGTTGCTAAGATCTATGGTAACTTTTATTACAGTATACTGTTATGATTGTTTGATTTTATTATTAGTTATTGCTGTTAATCTCTTACTGTGCCTAATTTATAAATAAAACTTTATCATAGGTATGTATATATAGGAAAAAACATAGTATAGATAGGATTCAGTACTATCCACAGTTTCAGGCATCCACTGGGGGGTCTTGTAACATATCCCCCATGGATGGGGGGAAGCACTGTATACAAGATATATATGGTCATTGTGGCTTTAAGCCACCAAGTTTTGGGATGGTTTTAACGTAGCAACAGATAACCAAGGCAGCGCCTCTGAGATACAAATGAGCAGAAAAAAAGAGAAATGGCTAAAGATGCTACAGCATGGAAGACTGAGGACAAGCTGAAGCCAAAATGGATGTTTGAAAGTTAAAAAAAAATTTAATACTCTTAAAGCAGCCACTAATAAAAGCAACAAAGAAAAAATTCCACACTCTTGCTTCAACTCTGAGTGGTGCTAATCTGCCAACCCATCCTCCCTCTCCCTGACCCTCCTCCATTTTTATTTTTTTACCTCCTCCTTTGCTTTAGATCCGAGTCTTCACCACTATTATGGGCTTTCCTATAAAAAACAAATAAACGAAGATATAAAAGAAAATAGAAGATTATCAGTTGGCTAAGAAAAGCCCACCAAAATGAGCTGCACTTCAGTTAATTCCTTTCTGTTACACATTGATTCACCAAACATTTAAATCACACATATATGCCCAGCCCTACGATAGGTCCCAGAAATAGAACATAACACCAACTGGGCTCAAGAAGCCAGTAACCCAGTGGGGGCTGCAAACAGTCTATAAATAACAATGCACAACATGTCTGCTACGTTCCATTCATCCAATGATGGGGTGAGCCTGCAGGTCCTGGGTCTGCAATCTGCCAAGTTCTGCCATACTTGACTGATGTCAGCTCTCACTTGGATGCCCTTTCCAACACTCTGGCCTCCAAGTCCCTTGACCTTTTCTCTAATAACCTCTTCACAATAACTCAGCGACCCACATCATGGTCACACTTTGGACTTTATCATCTGTAACCACCTTCAAACACTTGGCTTTCTGACCACAGTCTCCTCTCCTTCCTATTTACCAATCCTATCCACCTTCACACAGCTTTGAGGGGGCATCCTGGTGAAACGTGCAGGCTCTGGAGCCAGACAACGTGACTCCCATCTCCTCCACTGATGAGCTGTGTGATTTAAACATATTACTTCTCTTCTCAGTCCTCGGTTTTAACAGAACCTCCCACAAAGTGTTGTTATGGGGATAAAATGAATTAATACATTTAAAATGCACAGAGTAGGACCTGGCTCATTGTAAGCTCTTAATAAATGTTAGCTGTTATCATTATTGCATATCCAACCACTTCCACTCTACCCTCCTTTGACCTCAACAGGACTACTGGTCTATGGACCTTTCTACTTTCCATCAGCTTTTTTTCTCCTTTCTTCATTCCCTCACTGACTCAGCTTAGATTTCCATCATATCAATAACATGCAGGCCAGTACTCAAAACTTCCTTCAAGTCCCTGTTTTCTGTTCAGTCTTTTTGGCAAGACCCCAAGCGTGGGTGCATCCAACTATCCAGGTTCTCTGGCCCAGACTTCAACAGCTGGCTGAGCAGTGCTGGAGGGAGTTACACAAAAGAGTATATGTTACACTACAAACCCATGTTCATAAACCTCAAATGGATCCAACACAGCCCAACAATCATACCACCTTTCTCTGATCTAAGTACTTTCTCTGTTTCTGCAAAGCAGTTTCAAACACTTTTCACCTTGCAACCTTCTGATGCGTCATACCTCCGCTTCAGCAGATGACTTTGTTTTCTCCTTCCAAAGGAAAAAGGAGCCATCAGGTGGCAACTCTTTCATCTTCCTGTTACCAAAAATATGACTTACCAATATCTCCCTCTGTCATTCACAGATCTGTCCTTACAACTAAGGTCAGTCCCTCCACCTGTGCTGTATGGGTCCCATCACCTCTTATCTTCTCAATGACTTTCATTAACTACCCTCCTATCTCTCACATATATTCAACTTGTCCTAATGGAAAATTCTTTTACCAGTTTTTCAGATTGTCAAGTCCTTCCTAACAGACACTGACTTTGACTCCACACCCCCCTTCATCTACTTCGTCTCTCCTCTCTCCTTCAAAGCCAAACTTTCTAAGAGAGGCGTCTAAGTCCCTTTTCTCCACTTCCTCACCCTCGATTATGAAGTGCCTTTGTACTCTGATTGGGGCAGACGTGACTCTTTAATGCCCTATCATAACTTACGTTCCCCATTTCCCCAATATTCTTATATCAAATAATGTAACATTGATATGTCTCTGTCCTTACACCAAATTTTTGGATAACTATTTAGTATAAACACAGTTATATAAATACTCTTCACAGATGATCCATATAGCATTCAAGGAATACAATTTCATTCTTGTACAGGTTTTACAACTTTCTTAGAGATGATAATTGCCTAGTTTTCTATGTACCTATCGGTTGCTTAGTCTTCCTTGTGCTTATCATTATTTCTTCACGCAAACTCTGAGAGAGCTGCAAAACCCCCCCTGAGATGGACGAATACTCAGGTAATCTGAAACTTCCATTTCCATCCCTCTTGGAGCTCTCTCCACCCTCCTGCTCACATCTGGACCATTTGCTCTCTACTACTGCTACACAGATGTTGCTTTGATGAATTCCCTTCACCATGATCCAGGGAATTCCTTTTGCTTCTTTGCATGATGGGTCCCATATTTCTAGGTCTCACGGCTTCTTGTCTTGGTTTTGGTGGAACATATCTTCCAGTTGTTAACAGAGAAAATTTGCATGGCAGGTATATTTTTTTCAGAGCTGGAATTTCTTTTTTTTATTTCTCTCTCTCTCTCTAACTAGTTTAAGCTGGTCAGTGGAGGTGTTTTTGGTGTTTTTTTTTTTTTGGAAGATTGGCCCCTGAGCTAAGATCTGTTGCCAAACTTCCCCTTTTCTTTTTTTCTCCCCAAAGTCTCCCAGTACATAGCTGTAGATTCTAGTTGATCCTTCTAGTTCTTCTATGTGGGATGCCGTCTCAGCAGGGCTTGATGAGCAGTGCTAGGTCCACACGCAGGATCCGAACTGGCAAACCCCAGGCCACCAAAGCAGAGTATGTGAACTTAACCACTTGGTCTTGGGGCCAGCCCCTGGAATTTCTAAAATGTCCTTATTCTATACATGGAATCCTAAACTAAAAATAATCTTCCTTTGGGGTCAGCTTGATGGTGTAGTGGTTAAGTTTGTGCACTCTGCTTCAGTGGCCCAGGGTTCACAGGTTCAGATCTCAGGCAGGGACATACACACCACTCACCAAGCCATGCTGTGGCAGTGATCCACATACAAAACAGAGGAAAATTGGCATGGTTGTTAGTTCAGCAACAATCTTCCTCAAGCAAAAAGAGGAAGATTGGCAGATGTTAGCTCAGGGCCAATCTTCCTCACCAATAAAAAAAGAAATCTTCCTTCAACATTTTGAAGGCAATGCTTCATTATCTCCTTTCTCTGATATCACTGTTAAGTATTCCAATGTCACCATTCTGATTTGTCACCATTTGTGAACAGACGTTTTTTTCTCTCCCACCTTCCAAGTTTTCCAAGTCTTAAAAATTCTCTCTTAATCTAGAATCTTTTGAAATTTAATGATAATGGATCTTGCTATGGATCTAGTTTTTCAATCTGTTATGCCAAACACTCTGTGGGTACTCTCTATCTATAAAGTAAGTTCTGGGATATTTTCTTGCAATATTTCTTTCATAGTTTCCTCTCCTACATTTTCTGGGGGCTTTTTTCTTTTCTTTTTTTTTTTTCTGCTTTTTCTCCCCAAACTCCCCCCAGTACAAAGTTGTATATTTTAGTTTTGGGTCCTTCTAGTTGTGGCATGTGGGATGCCGCCTCAGCATGGCCTGACGAGTGGTGATGTCCATGTCCAGGATCCAAACCAGTGAAACCCTGGGCCGCCAAAGCAGAGTGCACAAACTTAACCACTTAGCCATGGGGCCAGCCCCTGTGGGCTTTTTTCTTAGAAATTTTATTAGCTGAATGTTTGATATCCAGGTTTGATCCTTTTTATTCATATTTCCATATATTTGTTTCATTTTATTTTTGTTCTACTTTGGGAAAGACATCCTTAACTTCATCTTTCAAACCCTCCATTGATTATTTTAAATTCTGCCACACAAATTTCAAGTCTAAGAACTTTTATTCACTTTCCCTTGCTATTAAATTTTTCATTTTTCTAAAAATAATAATTATACTTTTTAGAAATTTTTGTTTCTTATATTGTGTGTATTTCCTGTGAGTCCCCCCACCCCAACACACACACACACAGACTCTTTCCTAATTGATTGTTTCGGTCTCTGTCTTTCCACACAGAGGCCATCCTCCAAGGTGACTACAGCGCTCTCTTCATATTTAAGCATTAGGCACTAAAAAGACTGGAACCCTCTGGATGGTGCAGAGCATGTTAACTGACAGCTTCACTGTAATGTGGAGCAAACTAATGGGGCTAGTCTGAACCACTTCATTGGAGGATCTTTTCCAAATTGGTATCTGTAGGTCTCCTCTTTGTATCTATCTGTCCATTTGCTACAGCGAGATTCTCTAATCTCATTCCTGGGAGATATAAGCCTGGCTTCTAGCATTCTGGGAATAAAGAGAGAAGGGAGCCATTTAGTAAACAAATATTCACTCTCTTGATTTTTCCTAGGGATACAATTTCTCTGTCTCAAGTTAAATAAATGCTGGAGTTTGTCACAGCTCTGTCACTGGCTTTGTCTTCGCATTTCTATACTAGCTATCTAGACAGCCTCATCTCTAGTTCAGATTTCAGTTAATATTTTTGAGAAATTTTATTTCAGTCTAGACAGCTAATCCAGCTCCTGACTTATCTCCAACAATCCATGTGGATCCTGCACTTGGACTTCTCCAAGGCACCACAAACTCAACATATCAAAAACCAAACTCAGAGTTGTCCCTCTCAAGCCTGTAATGTCCTGGTGATTCTTATTTCAGTGCATCACACAAAGTCGTAACTGTACATGTATTTGTGTGATTCGTATATTTCTTCCGGAGATTGTAAGTTCCCAAAGGGTAGAGACTTTGTCTAGTGTTGTTTAACACAGGGCCTGGCATGAAGCAGGCACTCAGTAAACATTTTTGAGTGTAAAGATCAATAGGGGCGAAAATAAATTGTAATGCCAGAAGGTACGCTGGCTTTCTTTTTCTGGAACAGAAATGTTTAAACCAGCAGCTTTAGAGTCCCCATGAACCTGGAAAATTATATGATGATTTGTATGTGTATTTAATTACGTATTTTTCCCCTAGGGAATGAATCCAATATTTCATCTGATTCTCAGAGTTTTGTCACCCAAAAGGGTTAAGAATCAGTGTTCTGGACTCGGCCAGAATTTGATAGCTGTATCTATCCAATGATAAACAACTGGAAAAATATGAAATTTTGACATCTTTTGCAAAACATGTTATCCTGGCATCCATTGCAAAATAGACTTTCCTCTTATTAAATTTAAGTCCTTGAGATTCTTCCATACTGATGACAAATCTTGGTTTTAAATGTCAGTTAAACCAGCTAGGGATTGGTACTCCAGGGCAAGGTAAATATGTGTGACGACAAAACAAGACTGAGAAGGACGGGACATTTATATGGTATATATAGTGGAAAGAAAACAGAATAAGCTTTAGCTCTTCTATGCCAACACACAGCAATGGCTAGTCTCCTCAAAACACTCATGCCCAATAAGAGACTTTTCAAGTGACACACAGAACTAGACACAAGGTTCTATGGCTGCTCAGACAAAAAGATTCTCTTTCCTATAAATCAAAATAGACTTTCCTCTGGATGGTGCCAATGAAAGGATCCTGTATCCACTCACCACAATTACTTCTCTGTAAAACACAGGAAGCCAGCAGAAAATGTATCTCATTACAGAAGTCATTAAGTCTGGATTGGGGAATGTATATGCTTCAAACTACTTCAAGCAATTAGTTTGGAAAAAAATAATGTAAATTTTGGTATATTTTAGCAAAACTTGATAAATGCATTTTCAAATATATTAACACAAAAGGACCATCTGCTCAATATGTGTAATTATTTTATTTAGGGAATGCTAACCAAGAACACTAATAATTAAAGATGAAAAACTATAAAAACCTATTTAATAATAATCATACAGTGCCAAATTCTTAATATATTTAGTTATTCCCACCACCCACACCCTCTCAACATACATATACACACAAATGCACTTTAAAGTGTTTCCCAGTGGTGTTGCCTTGGTTTTAAATGTTGTCCAAGTCGAACCAATTGTTGGTAGGGAAGGAGGGCAGGAAATCATTCTCCTTGCCTTATCTAAATGACAGTTCATCATCCCTGCCTTTTTCAGATGTACAGACCTGGATCCAAATCCCAGATGTGTCATAAAGGACAGTTACTGTCATCCCCAAGCCTCAGTTTTCTCAAGTGTAAAAGTGAGATGATAATGCTGGGCCAGGTATTTTTCCATTGGTACTCAGCCCCATCCTGACCCATCTATAGTCTCTCCTGTATTGCCAAGACTGGAAGTCTGAAAATTACATTTTCCTGGACTCCTTCACCAGCTGGGTTCCACTTATGGAAGCAATCAGGAGAGATCTGATGGGAGGAGAAAAGCGGAAGTGATTCTGCTTCTGGCAGTACCTGAGGCATCCACTCTTGCACTCCTGAGAAGTGGGGGTGCCACAGCATTAGCTACAGTGGTGGTACCTCCAGTAGTGGCAGCAAGAGTAGGTCCAACAGTGGTGGTGCCCACAGCAATGTCAGGAGCAAGCACAGGCTCACGAGGGCCACCTCAAAGGCAGAAGCAGCTTCAGGATCTCTGGGTAACACCCCTTCCTTTCTTTTATTCCTCCAGCCCAGGGGCAGTACAGCATCCAGATCTCAGAGTTGCCCCACTCTCTGCCTTTGTTCCTTCAATCCTAGTCATACTGTGCACCAATACCTTGCATTAATCCCTCTCTGCTGGAAATGGCTAGTGACTGAATGATACAAATGCCAATTTCTATAGGGCTATTATAAGGATCAAATGAAATAACATAGAGTAAGCAATTTGCTCAGTACTCGGACCATGATATATGTCAACTACTATTCCATTATCCTATCTAATCACTGCTGGTCATCCTTTAGCTCGCCTTTTCAGTCCTACTAGGTCAGGAGACATAGACCTTTCTCTTCTTAACCATCAAAAGATTTCAGTGAAGTTGGACCTGGGTTGAGACAGCTGGGGAATAAGACTCTGGGAAACTGGCAGAAGTAGAAGAAATCAAAGAGGGATGGACCAGCAAGCGCAAAGAAGGGCAGAGAAGAGAGAAGGGCTTCTGCTTCTAAATCCACAGTGTATAAAAAGAATGTTGATGGCTATCTGAGAACATGACCTGGACTTCTCATAGTTATAAAAGTCAACTTTAAAATACCACTTATGTAGGTACCCAGAGTAAAACACAGTCCCCATATGTAGGAATGAAATGAATCTCATTGGTAAGTCATTTCTAGGTCTTCCTCTCTTGAATCTGCCACATTACCCAGCCCGCTTTTCAGAGAAAATCCAAAATTTCTAGATATGGACTTTTTTTTTTTAAGTAAGTACATCAAATATAATCACACAAACAATCTGACCTGCTGGAGAAAATATAACAGGATTCACTCTCTGTGCTCTGCAATGGGTTTTACTCAAGTTTATGCAACAATATCAGTCTGGAGAGCAGAGCACTCAGCCTCAGCTAAGAAGATTTATCTATAAAAGTAATTTTGTCTTGTCAGGTAGAAACATTTAATATCTTTTATACATCAACATGTATTATTAATATAATATTATATACACTATGTAATATATTACACATACTATATAATATATATGGTTAAAATATATTAAACACATAACATATTTTTTAACTTATCAGCCTTAATTACAATACAGAAAGCAAGTTCCTGTCAATATTTTATGAAATTGTTCTCTGAAACCCTGGCCGTTTAGAAGAAATGCTTCAGGATCTCTAGCTTATTTTATCTCAAATACATACGCTGTTTTCTTGGGGAGACGAATAGTCAAGATATTATGAGAAGAACCTGTGATAAAAATGTAACTGGGATGCAGAGGTTCCACTGAAAATTAAAAACTGAGGGGCTGTGTTCAGCTTACCTTCTCCTCGTTGGCTGCACAGAGTCATTGTCGCTCCCACAGGAGGGGTTCCGGCGGCGCGTGTAGGGGAATTTTGGGGATTTCGTGCGGTCATTGGGAGAGTTGTAGAGTCCACTGGAGTGGAAGAGGAAGGGTCAACAGTGCCCGCAGAGGGCCTGCGGGGGCAACACCCTAACCGGGACCTAGGGAAGTGTCATAACTGCACAGGTGGTACTTTCGGGGGAATACTGGATCGTGGGCACATGATTCTCTTTGCAGACAAGATTATTGAAAGAAAAGAGAGTAAGATCTGGTAAATGAAATCATAAAAGTCATTATTTTGCCGGAATGGATTTGTCTCACTGGACTTCAATCGTAAGTAATGAACAGACTTGAATGATGGCAATAACAACAATTTGCATTTGTGACAAATTTACCACATGCCAGGTGCTGACTAAGCTAAAGGCTTTCTATTCCTTATCTTAGCTAATCTTCATATCAACCCTAAGCACTGAGGTACAATTATTAGGCCCATTTAACAGAAAAGAAAATTGGAAATACAGAATGTTTAAGTGGCCCAAGTAAAGTAGCTAGGAAGTGGCAGAGCTAGAATTTGAACCTCTGGATTGTCATACCTGAAACTACCATAACTATAGAGCTGGTGAGTTATAATGCAGGTCTGTCACAGGTTTGGTAGTTGTAAACAGAAAGAAGCTAAACATATATCAATATTTTTAGGAATACAGGTCTTCTGAAATCACCATTCATCACTCATCGTTTTCAACTAAAGTTTTTACAAGAACTACGAAATGGGGGAAATTATCAGTAATATGTGATTTAGAGTTTTCAGAAATATGTCATCTTACTCCAAACCATCCTAATGACCTTCCAGGCAGTTTCTTAATAGACACTAGTTTTCCCTTCTGTCTCTCCAAGAGACAGTTTCATGTTAGGACACACTCTGCCGACTTCTATTTCGGAAATTCCCAGTCACACTGATTTAGGAATCTGATCGCCTTGTCCACAGCTAGTCATGACCAGCCACGCAGCAGGTGGATGCCATTATTTAATAAGCTGCAATTGCTAACCCCTTTTCTACTGTTGTCCTTTGCCTAAACAATAATTCCCTTTACCTCTGGGGGCCATTTTCTTCCCACGGTGCGTGAGATTTGCTTCTTTGGGTATCAGGGCTGTTTTCATTCTTTGCTTTCTTAAAGCTTTAATTAAAAAAAACAAAGGTATGGAAAATAAATTAACTAGGAAATAAAAGGAACTCACACACTTATTTCTTCAGTAAAATTATTTAACAAATGTTTAAAAATATGGGTGTGTTTTTATTTATACCCATGACTCATTCCAAAAAGAATACGAATGGCTGCCTAAAAAAATACATGTCACCAGCAAGTACTCTGGGGTCTTTTTTCCCCCCTTCTTTCTTTCTAGTTTTACTGTTTTAAGTCAACAGAAGCCAAGTCATCCATTGTTAAGAAACTTTTAAGAGCATCCACCTGAAGGAAACGAAGCAAGGACAGCTGTTAAGCCATGAAAAGAAGCTAATGAGGAAGCAAAGTTGGGGTATCTGAGCTCGTGAGGCTGGCTGCCTCTTTTGAGCAGTGGTCAGAAACCCCCTGGGTCTGGACTTGGGTCTCACTCTGTGCAGGCTGGTTGGCTCTGGGCAGGTTCAGGCTACCCAAACCGACCTTCCGCTGCCCCCAGTTTCCGCCATATCTTGGCTTCATCCTTCCAAATCAGAATGACTTTCAAATGCTATTTCCTGACCTAGTATCATCTTTCTGTCCTAAGAATGTAAATATAACTGAGTTGTTATTCAACACCAACAAATTGTTTTGGAAACACAGAAGAAGGCACTCATCAGAAGCGTTCAGTCACCAGTGGGGGTGGGAGGTTCACCTCTCCCTCACTTCCCTGGGAGTCTCAGCCTCAGAGGAAGATAGAGCTACTTAACTCCTAATCCACTTTTAACCCTGGCTTTTTGAGGAATCCTTTATACAACTGTCCTCAAACATGGTCATAGGAGGGTCCTTTATAACAGCCAACAAAAAAGAGAGAAAAAAATGACAAAGTCATTTCAAAAAAAGAAAAGAAATTTGTACTCTAGCATACTACATCCACACAGGAATTAATATAAGCCTAAAAAATCATGTACTTGCCAAGGCACATAACTCAGAGCATTAGTATATAGTAAGTAGGTTTTATATATCAACAATTCATTATTTTTATAAAGGTTAAAAAAACTTTTGAAGATCAAATTCCCAAAGAAAAAGCCTACTTTCGAAATGAGGTAAAGTAATAAATATCTAAATATTTAACACAATAGTAGAAAGTGTGTGTGTGTTTAATAAATTAGAAAGAAAAATCAAAAACAGAAAAGGGAGACTGAGAAATGCAATGGGGAGATGAAAGGGGCATTGGGAGAGCAGGCGAAAGTTAAAGAATAATGAAATCCTGGGTGGCAAATTAATTGTATTCACTCCCGAAGCTATTTCTCATCTCGAGCGTGAGTGGAAAATTTGGCGGCCCTTCAGGTATCAATCCTATCGTCAAGAATGCAGTTGCAAAGGGGATTGAACTCATTCTGTACATTTTAAAAAGGCTTGGGATCTGAATTTCACGGAAGATTACTGTTCTTATGTTAGACTTACCATAAGCATGCCCTGTACATACAGATTAAGCTGACTCTATCCACAGCTGTGAGGCTGGCTAAGGGAAGCAGAGTCAACTAAAGTGTACGCAGAGGCAAAGAACTTGTCATTCCAAAAAGAGAATCTGTAAAGGGTGTATCCTAGACCTAAACAAAAGAAAATGTAGGCAAAACCCTGGGGAAAACATTGCAACTCTGCGAATCTCCGTATCTTAGAATTATCTCGCTGGGAAATTATAAACTATACTCTTCCAAGTAGCCACAATCCTGGCAAATGAAGACACCATTATTTACTAACAAGAGATGCAATAGATGATCTAAGAAGTCTTTCAAGGTCACGTATTTCTGACTGCTTGGACTTCTCCATGATGTGCATGGAACTATGTCCAGAGAGAAAGTGAGTGGATGAAAGCTGCTCGTTGTATGTCTAAAATGCTTTTCTGCGAACATAATTGGAGATAGGAAAAAATGATGCTGAAACAGCGTCTTAACAGAGAACAAGGCTGATCTTTCAGGGAAACAATCCATGCAACATATTAAAAGAAGGTCTTTCCGCTGGGGAATGCTGCTGGGAAAATTGATGCAGAGGACCATGACAACTCTTCATACATATGCAATCACTGACTTCTAAAGCCATGTGCCTCTAAATGCTCCAAACCCTCTTTCCAGGGCACAGTTCAGTGCACCGCTGTAATGAACACAGTACATTAAACATGAATATCATCTACTTTATTTCACAGGTCCCTCTGAATTAGTCCATTATATCATGCCATTTTAAAAATCACATGGAATTTTCACTTTGCTACCACGAATGCAGACCACAGACTATCTAAGAGTTCAGCACGTTGTGACAACAGAAGCATTTCCTTCAAATGAAAGAGGCAGGTTCTGATGTTTTCTATTTTACTGGCATTTTAAAGTATGCTTTGGCACACAGACTATTTTGATCAAAAGTATTAGTTAATTAATCAAAGTGAAAAGATTCTTAACCTTGCCAACAGGAAGAAGCATTTTGGTGACAGCATATAGTGGTGTGTTCTTTCAGTTAACTGACTAACCTTTTTATTGGTGAAGGTGCAATAATTTTAGTTGTTCCTTCATTTTCTCCATTTTCCACATTCACAGTTACCCGATTTATGCTGTTTGATCCTAGGAACAAACAGGGGGAAGGAAAGATGGAAGAAAGGAGACAGTGATCAGAAAAACACAAAGGAGCAAAAACTTTATTTTAAAATGCAATTTTAGGGACATCATGGCACATTTTATTAAGAAATTATAATTCTTAATAAATAATGAATCACCCAATAAATCTGAGGTACCATTTTCTGACACGTACTAAATCTTCAACATTACAATGTCCACAGGGGTCTAGGCTATGACATCACATTAAAATGGGACTTCTGAGACTTTAAGAGTTAACTAAGTTCCCACATCATGGACATTTTTACTCTAGACTGTTAAAATACGAATCTAAGGGATTTGGTGCCATATATTGGAATGTAAGACATAATAATCAGTCCTGGATAACTACATTGTGAAGAAGTTACTGTTTCCTGGCATGCCCTGCTAGCCCCCATTCCAAATCAAACCAAAAAAAAAAATTTCACACCTGAAAATATTCCAACTCATAATGCAAATGGAAAAAAGAATAATATAGATGTGATTTGCATCACTCACATCCAAAAAAAAGTTTCCAAATATGTTTTTTATGCAAACATTCCTAAAAGTCTAAAACTGACTTTTTACAAGCTATTATTCCACAGATTTGCATACATTCTAGATGGACCAGCAGAGGGAGCCCCCAGCAGACACAACGTTGGAAATCACGATCCAAACAGAGATCAGTGAAGCGGCTGGGCCCATCCAGGAAGTCTGGATCCCATTCTCAGGACAGAAGTCGATAAGCCTGTGGGAGTGAGATGTGTGGGTGCCCACGACAACTCTTCTCAAGTGGGCTGCACCTCACTCTGGGAGGTACAGGGGAAGCTAGCAATGGGATGCTCGAAGTCCTTGTTCAGTTATGTGTCTTTCTCAGAGAGGCATCTTGCTGGGGTATGTCCACAATTCAGGTCCTTCAATCCAAGGTGTAACCACCACTAACCACTGAAGTTTTTGAGTCACAAGATGAATTTGTAATACTAATGAGAGCTAATATTTATTGAGCACTTACCATGTGTTGGGTGCTGTCTCAAGCACTTCACGTCTATTTACTCATATAATCCTCAAAATAACCCTATAAGGTAGATACTAACATTATCCCCATTTCTTAAAGAGAAGAAAAACAGGCCTTTCCAAGGTCCCATGGCTCGGGAGTGGGGGGCTCATCTCTGAAACCCCGCTGTCTGGCTCCAGAGACTTAGCTCTAAACCACCACAACCCACGGCCTTCCACGTGTCATCTGCGTCCCACCCTCAAAAAGTTCAAAGTCAGTCTCTATTAGGGGTCCACTGGGAGAGACAGACTCTTTGAAGATAAGTGAAAAGAATATCCAAATAAGTGGTTCCAAATAAGAGTTTCAAAAGCTATTATTATAAGGAATTCAACAGGGATTTAATATAAGAATTTTGCTCTTATTTTGGAATCCTGAAATGGAAAGACAAACCCAAAGAGAGATACACATTAAAAGTAAGCTCACGTTGCAGCATCATTCAGAATCCAGGCATTAGGAAAGAATAACATTGGGGCCTACGGGCAATTTCATCAGGTATGATAAATGGAACACAACCAACTCCCTTGAACTACCCCGTGTGCTATCAGACATCGGCAGTGGCCAGTCACTGTCTATTTTGCTGTAACGGTTAATAAAAATCACAAGGGCAGATTACCAAAATTGCAGGCAGAGATTTGGGATGGAGCTGCTTCTCAAATGTAGGATTCTATGTGGTATGGCCCTGGGGTAGTGGCAGGAAGGATTCATTCATTTGTGCTCCAAACAGTAGGTATGCCCCAACATTAATATTTTTAGTTGTTCCTAATGAACTTTTTAGAAATGTAGTATTGTTCTCAGCAGGTATTACTAACTTCATGTACCTAGGGCTGTTTTCCCCGGCTCTGGGGAAAAGGAGGCACAGCAGAGGGACCAATACGCAGTGCCAAGAACACCAACTGAAGAAGCGTGAGTAAGGGGGAACGTCACGTTACCCAAAGCCCTGTGCAACTAGTTTAAGAATAAGCCTCGGTTTGCTCCAGTCCTCTCTTTAGACTGACTAGTTTTTTCCTGGTCTAACAACTGATCCCCTTGGGAAAAGTGAGGTTGCTTAATTACTTTCACCTAGTTTCTTTCCATCCGAATCTTCTAAAAAATTAATGAACAGGTAGACAAAAAGCTGAGGAATATTTTAAAATAGAAAAATTTCAAACAATGCGTATATATTTTCTTAAGCTAATATTTGGTTATTCACAATATCCAAATCATAATTTTTTTTTTTTTAAGATTTTATTTTTTTCCTTTTTCTCCCCAAAGCCCCCCGGTACATAGTTGTATATTCTTCGTTGTGGGTCCTTCTAGTTGTGGCATGTGGGACGCTGCCTCAGCGTGGTTTGATGAGCAGTGCCATGTCCGCGCCCAGGATTCGAACCAACGAAACACTGGGCTGCCTGCAGCGGAGCGCGTGAACTTAACCACTCGGCCACGGGGCCAGCCCCCTAAATCATAATTTTTAAAGATGAAACACCAGATGGATGGTTTTCCGAAAGACTTGAAGGAAAGATATCACGTCCATGCTCTCTCTCCAACACTCACACACAATGCAGCCAGGCTTCTTCAAAATAAACTGGTCAACTGTCAGGACCATTTTACTGCAACAAGAGTCAGAAAACTCTCATCAACGCAGCACAAATGAGATAAGGCGGTGTCAGTAACACAATCTAATTCATGGACCTTCTATACTCAGAATGGTGAACTACTAACTAAAAATCTGCTTATATGTATTCCCCTTTTCTATGTGAACTGGACAAGCATGGGGTTTAAACGTCTTACTAGGAAAACATACTGCGGGGGAAACTACCTAAAAGCATTAACTTACTGGGAGCCCCCCTGAAGTATCCATTCATATAATATTTATACACTATAAATTACTGTTGTCTATTCACGGATGTAGAGTTCTTAAAAAGCCCTACTTAGGCAATACTGATTAGCTTTCTTTATGTTACTAAAGTTTCACTTAAAAGCAATAACTATACTTTCAAAACATTACATTTTAACCATCGTCCTAATTAGGTCAAATTAGTCAGAACTTTATCATACTACCATTTGAGAAGAAAGCTATGCAATTCAGTAAAGCTAGGTTATGTGCTGGTTATTGAAATCTGCAAACGTGAGAAAGATAGGCTATGCGTTATTTAGGTTTACTAACTCCATTTTGATGACATGCATTATTAACCATTTTCCTCTTCCAAACTCTTCCTCCCACCATCATATTAACTTCCAGAATCATCCTTTCTACATTTGCTCGGATTCTTGGGCTACAGAGAAGAGATGATCTGACAAACCCATCACACTAAAAGGCTCACGTCTTCGTGTATTATTTGCCACAGAATAGTTTCATCTTAAAGAGGAAAAAGAGTAGTCAAACATTAACTAAATAATTAACTGATAACAATGGAATTTCAGGCACTGCTCCAAGAGATATTTTAAGGTTGGAGAAATCTTTTCCCCACTCCTTTTTCATTGTAATTTAAAACAGACCACCAAAAAAGAATATAATATATAACATATGAACAGTTTAACAAATATTATAAAGTGAACAGCTATTTAACCACTACCCACTTCAAGAAATAAAACACTGAAGGCAATTTTCCTACACTATACAAATCATTCCATTTGGGGCAACTCTTTCTTTTAGATAAAGCCAAACAGTTGTTTTCCATCTTAAATACCTAGAAACAGGAATTATCATGTATACATTTCATAAAATATTTATAATATACACAATAAAATTAGTAATTTTTAAATTATTAATAAGTTAATAAGGCCTCAAAATCTTTTTTTATTGAGGTATAATTAACATATAACATTATATTAGTTTCAGGTATATAACGTAATGATTTGATATTTGTATATGTTGTGAAATGATCACCACGATAAGTCTAGTTAACATCCGTCATCATACACAGCTACAAAAAATTTTTTTGTGGGGCTGGCCCTGTGGCCGAGTGGTTAAGTTCTCGCGCTCTGCTGCAGGCGGCCCAGTGTTTCGTTGGTTCGAATCCTGGGCGCGGACATGGCACTGCTCATCAAACCACGCTGAGGTGGCATCCCACATGCCACAACTAGAAGGACCCACAACTAAGAATATACAACTATGTACAGGGGGCTTTGGGGAGAAAAAGGGAAAAAAATAAAATCTTTAAAAAAAAAATTTTGTGATGAGAACTTTTAAGATTTATTCCTTAGCAACTTTCAAATGTACAATACAATATTATTAACTATAGTCATCATGCTGTACATTATATCCTCAGGCCTTATTTTATAATAATGCCTCAACATCTTAATAAAATGAAGAATACATCACTGTGCTCCTCTCCCCATGACTGCCAGGACAGTGTTTTATATATGGTAGGCACTCAAGGAAGGTCTATTATTATAAAGCAGGTATTTTTTCCTACTATTTTTTCCACTAGAAGAGAAAATTCAGGACAATGATGTTGTGTTTAAAAAGTGTCAAAACTAAGACAAAAACAATCTGGACATGGTTGTATGGGAATGCAGGACAAGAGGACATGCAGACACAGCCTACAGGACTGGGCTACTCGGAGCTTTAAAAGCAGCCTTCTGCTACAGCACACTACTCCTGTAAATGATCGCCACAGATTATCTACAGCAAAGATCAGTTACTGACATACTCATCAAAGCTCCTAAGTAAATCTGCATTTTATTTTAGATAAAGTAATATATTAACTTTAACAAGACCACTTAGAATTAATCAGGAGCATCCAATTCATTTTGTGTATTGTTCACATTAAGAAGACAAAGCCCTCTACATTTCAAGAGGCTGGTCACATTTGGAAGAAATGTGACCATCACATTATCAGGGGACTGCTACAGTTTATTAAAGAACCAAATCCAGCTCATGAGCTGGAATTAGTTTTGTTTCTGGACTGTTAGACGCTTAATGAAGGCCCACAATTCCCTATAGTTTAGACAGCAC